ATATATATATATATATATATATATTTTATATAGACTAATAGAGATAAAAGATCAAATTGTGGAAGAACCAATTATTAAAGCAAACTCACAAAATATAAACTCCACTTTTCTATCATGTACAAATGCTTATATTATGAATTATTATTTGTTTAGTGCCATGTCTAGTCTTTGCAGTTTCATTGATATCCTCTTCACAATTGGTTGTTTGTTGGATTTTTTTCTCCCACACATAGCAACAACTACTGACTTTTAGTCTAGTATTAGCAGTTGTGATGGGTGGAAGAAAAAAAAAATGGTTGAAAATGGTGCAAGAGAATTGATTGGGTTTTACCGTCAGCAAATAAATTGTTAGTAGAACTGGGAGATAGTGAATATAAAAATAAAGCCCTGATGAAGGCAAAGAGATCAAAAGGGGAATTCATATTTGAAATAAATGTTAGAGAACTCATAATTATGGGAACCATCCCCCCCCTCTCTCTCTTCAAAGGTAAGAGTGAAAAATAAAAATAAAATAAATTGATGGAGATGAACAAGAGGAGAAAAGGAAGAGATGATAAAAAATAGGAAATAAGGATACAAGGAGATCAGAAGGGAACACATAGTTTATATTCTAGTTATATAACATTTTACATTACAATTAGATTAATTAGGTATTTGCACAAGCTACGGCATAGAATGGCTGAAATTGTGTTTTTTAAATGTCCTAATCCAAAAAAATAATCCATTTTAGACTTTTTTTCTTCAAGCATAGAGTACAGAGAATATAGAGCTAAGAGAACAAGCAACTCCTAGATAATAATCTTTATTTAGACATCTATAGTTGGCCAATACTTAAAGAGGATTATACTACATAATAATTTACTTATAATGTGAACAAAATACATTGTAACATTTAACTTTTTAAAAATAAGAAACTAATATTCTTAATGAAAGTATTTAAATTCTACTTTGAGGATCTTGTAGCATATAAATGAAAAAATATCTGATATACATTGCCGATGTTTTGGCAATATATTTAGCCCTCCAGAAATCATAACCAGCTCTCCTGCTTTCAGCCAGAAGCTTTGACCACTAAGCAGCCAATTATATTTGAGTAATTAAACTTTACTCATTTTTCTTTTTAAATTAGTAAAATTCCCAGTGGTACAATCACGATTTTTTGCAAAGGGGGAAGGGGTGCTGTAGGTGTAGTGTCTTGCTGACTTCAGCCCCCCTCTCGGTTGCACCCCTGAAAATCTATAATTGTCATTTTGTGCCATTATGAGCTTGTAAAGAGGGGAAAGAAGCCCAATGTTCCACCAGTTGATGCACCACGATGTTAATTGAAAATTTTGTATTACAAGTAATTAGTTATTTTATTCAAGCTGTTCCTACATGCTCGAAAAACCTTATTTTTAAACTTAAAATAATTATTCAAAAACAGTCAGTTCAAATGAATAATTTTTCCTAGTAGATCTAAAAATTATAGTATTTCAGTAGCCTTTGATGTGCACAAATATGCAAATTTACAAGTTTTTTTACAAGTTTTTCTAGTTGTAATTTTTCCTTTCTTTTTTCCAAACATATTCTAGAGGGAGAGTCTGAACTAAAATTATTACCCCAATATTTTCTGCCTCCGCTTCTGATTTGATTAACTAAATACATTAATATGTAACAATTATCTGCAATTTCTACAACAATCAAATTCAAAATTAACAGCACATTTTATGCTAATAAAAAATTATATACTTAATACATACCATTAATGTTTTCAAATCTGCTCTTTCAGCAGGATTCTTTTTCAAGCAACTATCCACAAAGTCCTTAAAAGAATCTGTAAAAATTCCTGCAGGCAGCTTGGGAGGTGGTTCATTCACTATATAGTCAAGAAGTTCAAAAATAGCCATGGGCCGTGGACCATTAGAGCCCCCTGATTGGTAATTCCCTACAAAAAATGGTTTTGTACATTAGATGATTAATAAGTTTATAACATTTTTAATAATAATAATAATAATATAATAAATTTAAAAAATAAAATGCAAACCCAAAAACTATGCAGTTACAATTTGAACACAGAATAGATCAAATGGATAGGAACACAGGATGGATCATATGGAAAACAATAGAAAAATATGAAAAGCAAAGAAAGAAGTCGAACACACGTAACAACCTGTGAATGTGTGGACTGGTGTGGCACAATGTGGTGCGATAATCGAGCGTATGCCTAATAAGGCATTTGGAAAGCTGTGAACTTGTATACGCTACAACGCTTTGGAACATGAAACCCTCATTTCAAATACTTTATTAAATACAAGAAACAATTTTGGTGTGTCATTAAACGTACATGCACTCACTTCATACCTTGCTCTTTCATGTGCATATTTCACATTTTCCACCAGTGCTCCTATATTCTTATCAAAAAAAAGTTATGCCCCAAACCTCATATTTTTTTCAAAATATCCAATTGAGATTCAAATTTTACCACGAGATATCCTTAAGTACTGAAGTTATTTTCCATCTTCCATCAGATCAGGATATAATATGCTAAATACCTCTTTTTTATGCTAAAACAATGTACATGAATGAACTATTTATGAACTCATCTGATCCTATACTTTTTTCTCATTCCAAAAATTGCCTCTTTGGTTCTATTATTTCTTTTACATCACACTGACACATGACAGAACAGATTGATGGTAAAATCATTGCATGAACGTATTGCAATGTACACAACATATTACAGTAAAACCTGTCTAAGCTGGTCCCTCTATAAGAAAGAAACCTGCCGTTCCAAACAAAAATCTCAGAACAAAACGATTTTATACATGAAAATGGCCTCAATAAACCTGTCTAACGTGGAAATAAAATTATTTGTAGAGCAAGTACGGTGATTATTACCTGCTAAGAAGGAAATTTATTTTTAAATTCCCAGCACTAAAAATGCGCGATTTTTTACCTTTTTTTGCTATTTTCTTTGTGAAGCTGACATTTTTCGAAGGCAAATCTCAAATTTCTATTCAGCGCCAAAAAAAAACATATGGAAGAGGTAAACTGAACGCGGATATGGAATGAGAGCGGTCTCAGTCACTCTAATTTGTTAACTTTAAATACTAATTTGCCTGTTCATTCTTCAAGTAATCCAGCTCACTCAAACATTACCACGGCAGTCAGCCATGGCCTCTAACCACCTTTTGCTATTATTCACCAGTGCCAACTGCCAGAACTTGAATTTCAGTCAGAATCTTCCAAAGCAACTTCTTCAATTTCTATAATGAATGCTTCATTCTTTTCTTGCTCTTTCATCACAATCCAAAACAAAGTTGCGTCCATGATCCTACTTAAAGTACTCTGTTTTTAAAACATTGAGTTTTGTTGTTGTTTGATCCACTACTATCTGTGGCCATAACTCACACAACTTGAAAAATTTGTAATTAGTTGAGCTTAGATTTTATCCTTCATTGCTGAATACAGAAAGGTTTCAATTTGTTTAGTTGTGGCATTATATACACAGCTCTGGCTGCTATTGACATCTCACCATTGCTATTAGGTTAAATACGGTAATTACAAACATTAAGGTATTTCATCATCATATATTTCAAGTGGGTAATAATTAAAAGATTTTCTGGTATTTACCATGAAGTGGAGACTGGGGAAGAGAGCCATCAATGTGATCTGAGCGCTGAGATCCAAAAATGGCAGCGAGTGTCTTCGCATCAGGTGGAGGGATGGGGTACATTCCAATGGCCATTTCAACCAGTGAAAGACCCAGAGACCAAATGTCACTCTGAACAGAGTAATGAGTCCCTTGTAATCTTTCAGGCTGAAAACAAATAAGAAAAAATTATGATAGAAAATATTTCTTATCCACATTACTAATACCTACCGATTAAAAACATTACAAAATAATACTTACCGACATGTAACTTCTAGTACCAACAAAAGAATTTGCCATGGAATCTATTAGCTGACCAGACACTCCAAAATCACATATTTTAATTTCACCTGCACTATTTACCAAAATATTGCTTGGTTTAACATCCCTATGCATAATGGCATGTTTATCCCGCAAGTAGCTCAGCCCTTTCAGCACCTTCACAAAAAACACCTTTATTAACTCACTACATCACAAGAGACAAGTTTCAAATATCACAAACATATTAATTAATTTTGTCACCATCAATAAAGCGTACATACACATTGTTACTTTCAGTTAATGGCTCATTTTTACTTCAAAACAAAAAAAAGTCTGCTTAAATATACGAAAATTGCAGTATGAAGTACAAGCTGAAATAGATATCCACAATCTAGTGATGTGCCTATGAAATGATGATGCCATAATAAAACAGAGGTAACTATATAGAGGACAACACACTAATCGATAAAAATGCTCAATAATATCCATCTCACAATTTTGACGGAAGGATATCACTCTCACTTCATGCAGTCAGGGGACTCCTGAACACAAAAAAGTGTTCTCTGATCAGTGATATTTTCGGATCAATCTGGCTTAAGGCCTTGTGAATTTGAAATGTATCTTTGAATTTTGGAGGCCACTTCATATGAAGCTCACATTACATTTTCAATATATTATCAAAAACCAGACGCCCACGCCCACACCCACCACACCCACACATACACCACACCCATACCACACACACAATCTATTTATATATACATTTTTTTGGATAGGACATTCCTGTTATCAAAAGAAACTTAAACGTCCAAAATTTGTATGACATGAAAAATATTTAAAAAATGTTGCATGATTTGTACATGATAAAATCAAAATAAGATATTCCTTTGGTGTTTAAATATCAATACATTTCAATAAATAAATTTCAAGCAATGAATAATATTATGTATTTAAAACAATGAAAATAAGTGCCAACAGTAAACCTGTGACAGATTAGCACAGACACAAATCTAGGACAAAAGTTTTCAAAACATTTGCTTATTGTGGTACTCTTTTAGTAGTACAAAACAACTGGTGTACCTACAACAAAATGTTACAAACTCAGAACGAGTAGCAGCTGCTTAGACAGTATGTATCTGACAGGCCTCTGCGCAGGCATCTCTGCCATAACCTTTTCCCTCAGAGTCCTATTGTACCTGTGCTGCGGCGGAAAGTACAATATCAAAATACTTTTGTCATTCATCACCCACGTTGCTGTGGGCACCCGACTTGTCTCACTGGCACATGCGCTGTCCACAGAACAGTTGTTTGAAGAGCCTTGCAAACCCTGAAGATTTAGACCAAATGTTTCCAAGAAGGTTGATGAGCAAGGAACAGTGTGAGACTCTCTGTCATCAAATTCATATGACAAATACAAGCAAACTCTTAATATATTTTAAATTTTCATGGGATGAGGCATAATTACCTTCTATAATTTACTTATTCCTTCCAAATTGGCAAATACAGAGAAAATCTCCAACATTCCTAATCAGATGGTCCTTAAGCAGACCTCTTTCTTTGCTCACCATGCACAGATATAGCTTGGAGACTCAGAGAGTAGTCTGGCACCAGAATTCCAGCCGGTGTCAACTGCCCTAAGATGATGTGCAGCTTCCTTATTCAAATGGGGAGTGGTACTGTCTCCAGACTGTGTGTGTGGTGCCCCTCAGACCATGTGTCTCTTAGTGGAGGGTTGTGAGCTCACAGCCTATCGTGGGGATCTGGTGGATTTCCTATGTCCAACACTGACAGTGGTGGAATGGATGAAAAAGCTGGACATGCCCCTCTAGGGAATATTTTTTGTACCGCTCTAAAGACTGTCTTACTATTGTGGTGCCGCATTGTGAGGTTTTCGACTGTATTTGCTGAAATATGGGTTCTGCGTGCTTGCCACAAGATAAATAAATGAATAAATAAATAAATAAATACATAAATAAATAAATAAATCTTCTATAATGAACCCCAGAAAAATAATCAATTCCTGACCTCAAACAAAATTCACTGATTTTCCCTAATATTTTCCAGAAAGTAGCACCCTTTATTGAGATGTTTTTATCGGACAGATGTTGGTTAAAAATGTATAAAGTATAATATTGCAAAATTCATTTATTAATTAACGTTTACCAAATTAGCATCACAGCAAAATTTAAATCTTCTTTTGTGTTGTTACTAATGAATGCATAACTGAAGTTTTTTTGCTTTTGTTTTTTACATGTCAATAAATGTCACAAAAAATTGCTACTATACACTTCATTTTATACTAAGCAAATTCTTAACTCACAGCAGATGTAATAGTACAAAGAATAGATTCAGGAATCCTTCCAGCTTTTTTGAGGATCAGGTCCAGGGAGCCTCCATCCATGTACTCCATGCAAATGCTGATTTCTCCATCACTGTCAATCAAATGTACACAGCATAACATTAATACAGACCCTTGTAATTGACCTAATGAAATCTTGACCACAGGTACACTCCACAACTAGAAATGGTTAAAACATTTATTCTACCTCAAATTCACATTGATTTTAGTAATTTTAAATTACTAAACTCCCCCCCTTTTTTTCTTCAAAAATTGACACCAAAGCAGAAGGAAGCTAATTGGAGAATCTCGAAATTAAGCGAAATACTTTTTGAAAAATTGTCCATTTTTCAATGTGACAAATGGATAGATATTGTGCCCGCTTTTGACGTACACGAAAATTTCCTCCAGAAAGTACCTTCCAATGAGTACGAATAGCTGTTTCCTTCGGATTGACAAAAAGAGGTTCAATACGTGAGTAATTTTTACGCGAGTAAATTTTCATTCAAAAACGCCGAAGGGAGTTTAAACTCGAAGAGAACGTATATTCGAGAAAATGAGGTACATTTCACAACTACAGTGAAAATCTGGCACAATTCAAAACGGCGAGGATTGTTATTGTTGATATGATGCTGACGTCTTAGAGTGGACTGATTAGTATACAGAAACATGAATTTTTCAGAAGTGCGAGTATTTTGTCTGCTTCCCAGAACTGGATTTTGCAAGGCCCTGTTCGCATGAGCGTCATTTTCCCCACAGAGCACTCTGCGTGTTTTGTTGTCTTTTGTCTAAGGAAAGAAAAAACTTAAACGAATGCCGGACAGTAATAACCAACAAATATTCAGATATCACCCACCCGGGTCTGAATTTTTACTCATTCGCCCTAACTAATTGCTAAGAAATAAGGGCACACGAAAACTGTGAATCATCGACAGAAAAACTTATATTGCCGGGTCCTAGTATCGAAAAAGTGGATAAATATTGTTCATTTACAAATATAATACATTTTGTTTAACTCTCTCTGGTGTAATCAGAATCTATTTTTTGTGGGTCCTTTATGCCGAAAATTCGACAAACGCCAAAACATGACTGCCTACGGTCAACGCTTGCGCCAAAATTGCTCATCTGATTTTCTCCAAAAGCGATATTCCTCGACCGACTCACATTACATAAAACCTCAACATCATTTTCAAACTCGAATAAAAAAATGGCACCAATTTCTTTAATTAAACTTTGTCCTCTGTTAGCGTATAAAGAAAACGATTAAAAGAATGGCGCAGTTTTAATTTTCGTTAAAATCCCCGATTTTTCGACAATTGCAAAAGAAATATTTTTTCGATGTCTTCCCACAACTGAAATATTGAAAATACAGACACTTACTTTCCCGTATACGTACGTACACACGGAGTAATAAACGCTCTCTATAGAAAGGTATATAATGCTGCAGCAAAAAACGGTGAGTTATAAAAAGGCTTATTAAAAAACGCTCTTTTAGCTTCCTGTTCATTTTCAAACTGTTACAGGAGGTGTAGACAATATCTCATATTTTAATACAAATAATATTGTTTTCTTTCATTGTCAGCAAAAAGCGAAAGTGCTTACAAATTTCTTTTATATTTTGACACAAAGGATCCAAAATTGGCTACGATACGACTTAATCCAATTCTTCATCTCTTTTTAAAATTTCGTCGTTAAGTCTGTCAGGATATTTTATTACATTATTGTGGGTTACTAGATAACTCATCTGGTGTGAAAAATCATGTGATTGTCATAATTTACAAGCCTTGATATTTTATAAGATATACGCATTGACCATTTGAAATAGGGAAAGCAATACCTTCACTAAGCAGCAACTTTCATTACAAAAACATTTAAAACGATGAACACAAAATGTAGCTGTATCATTCACTGTGAGCTTCTACAGTTGTTCCTTTACATTTCTCAACCGATTATACCTGATCCATTTATCTACAGACAAATTAAATGAAGATATAGTAGGTATGAGATGTATTGCAATCTTTTCTTTTCCACCAAAAACACCACATGAATCCATTCCAGTAACAAAACGTTTCCAACTAATGCACTTCAAAAACAATCATTACGAAAGTAATGAATGACGCCAATATTACCATACCATATTATTATTGTTGTTGTTGTTATTATTATTATTATTATTATTATTATTATTATTATTATTATTTCAATATTAGTAGACTGTTTAATCCCGTTCTTAAATAACATTAATAAGAACTTCATCTTCTACCAAAACGGTCTTGTCATGGCAACCAATTTAAATGTAATCCACTTGCCAAATCTAAATTGAGCAAAAATCACATTGTCGGTAATATTTATAAAAAATTGTCAAAATGTTATAGTACAACATTTTTAGAGAACTTTTCTCGCGTTGGTTTACTTTTCATTTTTATATTAAACATTTTCACAGACCTATTAAATACAATATAATAAATGTAATATAAAGAAGCATTTTCAATATAATGCGAAAGAACGCTAGGCACGGGGATGACGGATTTAAAATGAGTTTAATTCAATACGAGAAGGGAAGGCGAGTTAAAAGACTCCCAGTCCGTCCCAAACGACCGTGCTGGCCACTGCGACTTCGGGTAGCGCTTCTTGAGCGCCACTTCCATGTGCACTTTGCCTTAGCGACGTATTCGACGGCAGGTTGCCCAGATAGACGCGTTCGAGGAGGGCTGCGAGAGACGGCATATTATGACCCCCACGCCGATCGTGCATACGGAAGCACTGCTGTCGGGGGGTGGGGGAATGGCAGCACGCACGGCATGCAGCATCTGGACGACCGGTTCCCTTCACAACGATGGATGAACGACGGACGGTCCACCACACGCGAACAGATCCAATCAGGCAGGGACCGGCGCATTTCCGTGGAATACGCAACCGGCTCTGGCACATCTAAGAACGAGGGTTGCCTTTTATACTTCAGGATTAGAGAACAAAAACAAATATTAA